GAATTGCATTCAGTGTGCTTGGTTTGAGTTTCTGAATTAAGTTTTTTGAAAATTGAATTTTTTAGTTTTCGTATTTTTTTGTTTTAGTGAATATTTTTTAAATTTTAAACATTTTTTTTTATTTTTTTAGATGCACCTTAGTTAGATGTATCTAAAAAGTAAAAAAAAAATTGTGAAAAAATATTTTAAAAAATTAATAAATACATAAAAATACAAAAATATATTGAATTCTTGTATTTTTTTTTTTGTATTTTTGGTATTTAGTGAATTTTTAAAAGATTTTTTTTACAATTTTTTTACTTTTTAGGTGTATTTATGTTAGGTGTGTCTAAAAAGTAAAAAAAATTGCTTAAAATATTAAAAAAAATCAGTAAAAACAAAAAAACACGAAAAATAAGAATGTAGAATTTTTTGAAAAATGTTTTCTGAAAATGAAAACAAACAAGCTAATTGTTTCTTGAAAATTGGTAAACAGCTATAAGCACATGGCAGAGTGAGAAATATTATACCAAGAGTATAAGGAACACAAAATAACCATGGATAGTTATGTAACTAAAATATTTAAGATAATTTAGTCTGAGCAAATAATCATTTAAATAGCAAAACTGAGATTATGTAAATAAATAACCATAATCACGATACTGAACAGAACAGAACAGAGGTCACAGGAGTGACAGTCAGAATAGAGGTACAGATTCAAGAGGTGACTCGTACGGATTATAGAGGTGGCTCCTACAATGGTGTAGCACTTATCTCCGCACAGCACTTCACTCCGTACAAAATAGAGGTCAATGGATCCATGATAACAGAGGGTTACAAAGTGATCAAACAGAAGCCAATGAATGGTTATTTAAGTCCCCTAAGGCATGAGACTCCCGTGGTGGTACTTACAAAACATAATTGTTTATAAGGTTATAGTCAAATATTCTTTAAAATATAAACAAACATATCCATGGGTTTCATTTAAACAAATAAAGTTTAGAAATTAATCCAAGTGACTGAAATATTAATATAATTTATAATAATTTATAAAACATAACTTGTATAAAATAAATATTGTAAATCAAAACATACGTTGGTAACTCAAGGTATAATATAACTCACATTAACTTTAATACCTCACTCTTCTTTCCACTATCAAAGGCCCTCTCGGCTTCCGTTATTTTTTTCTTCATTTTCTTCGTTTCTTTCCCTTCTCCTTCCTCTCTTTTTTTCCTTTTCCTTCATCTCTTTCTTTTTTTTCTTTCGGCGCAATTGATCACTTCCTCCCTATTTATAGGGAAGTAAGAACGTGGCCCGCGTATCTTCCCCAAATTTGATTAATAAATTATATAGATTTATACTTATCTTTAATAAATATTTAAGATAATTACACTTTGGCCCAATTTTCTAATATAACTATATAAATAAATTAATCCCCAATTGAATTACACTCTATCGTATACTAACCGGAAATTAATTATTTATTTTACTACCACACCGATTATTATTATTATTATTATTTTATTTATTTACTATCTTTAACTCTAATTTGTATTATAAATTTTATATTTGTGTTAATTTAGCCTTAAATAATAATTCCTAATTAATCTCATATTTGATAATTCAATGCCAAATTAGATTTTGTATTTATTATTATTTATTTAATAATATATTATCACATACAACCATAATACTAGTATAAAATTTAAATAGCAACTTAAATTTTCGGGTTGATATATAAAAAATTAGAGAGGTAATGTGACCCCAAAAAGTCAAAAAACTAAAAAGTTAACTTTTAACCCAGATGCCAAAATAGGCAGTAATTTGATTCAACCCCCTTAAAACTTGATATTCCCTCAATCCCAAAATATTAGTCCCTTATTCTATTTTTTATTGTTCCAAAATATTAGTCCATTTTCGAAAATCAAGAACTAAGATAAAATGAATTTCTTATTTTACCCTTCTTTTAAATTCATTAACAACACAAAAAAGTATAAATATAACAATTGATATTTCTAAAAAAAAATTACTATTAAAGGATAATTTTGAAAAATTAATATTTTTAAAGTACAATAATTATACTATCAAAAAAAAAAAAAGATTCTACAAAAAAAAATGACTATTATTTTGGGAAGGAAGAAGTATGCAAAGTTTGAGCAATTTTTGCATATAGAGAGGTAGTGCCATGGTTTTCCTCTTTTGTGATTGACATAGGTGTTGGATTATGCAAAATACTGTCAAATTTATTAAAACCGTACCGATCTAGATAAATTCGTACTGTTCTAACCGCTAACCATGGTTTAAACTTCAAAATTTATAATCCATCAACCGAACCGCTCCGCTCCGCTATAATTAATACATGTATATTTTTTAACTTCCAATGAAATATCAATGTAAAAATGAGTGTGAAAGAGATTTAAGATATGAAATTTATTACAAACTAGTAGTTATATATATGAAACATAATATGTAAAATTACTGTGTCATATATCTAAAAAATATTATACAAATTAGCGTTATATATTATGTAAATGTATGATAATTAGTTAGAATATTCTTCAATCCGTCAAATCCGTTAAAAACTGCTCAAACCGCAATTTGTCAATCTGCTAATCCGCCATTCGGTTTATAATTTTATTCTCAAACCGTCCGAATCGCACCGCGCACACCCTTCGATGAGATCATCATTTTTATATTGCATGAAGTAAAATTAAATTAAACTTTATTTATTGAAAAAAAAAACTCATTCATTATGTGATTAAATTATATACATCTTCAATCTCATAGAAGTATAGGTGCTGGTTTCATAAGTAGCATGTTGCTCAGTTTCTCAATTTTAATTTTATTGTCTTACAAAACATGTATATATACCTATATAAAAAATTTGGTTATAAACCCTTCTTACATTTCTTTTATTGTTAAAAGGATCAAGAAAAAAATTATGCTTTCAAAACCCTCTCATTATTATAAAGTCTTGTATAAAGGACAAAAATTATTATTTAAATATTTTATTAGACTATTGTACTCTCAACTAAATCTTCTTACCTTCTCCGCGCACTCTCTCCCCACATTCTCCGTCTCTCCTCATAATCAACCTCAGTACACAACAAAATTCGAAGCAAAATCATCAACTAAAATGCAAGCTAGGGAAAAGTAAAAGGAGAGAGACGATCGAATGAGCACGCAATTGAGGTTTAGCTAGTGATGTATGTGTATATATATATATGTATGGATATATAATGTATATAAATTGATCAAATCGAAATTGTAGCATTGGAAATTGGGGAGGAGATCTGAAAAAAGGAAGCAACCTTTTTTTGATCTGATGATAAGTATAAACATATCCTTAGATCCTTTGGCGGAGTAGATTTGGTCAACGGAGCAAATCTAGTCGGCGGAGATAGAGATCGAAGACGATAGAGCAAATCTGGCATGAGGAGTAGATCTGTAGTCTGTGATCGAACCAAAGGTGTCAGAGCGGTGACAGCGGAAGATGAGATTGAAGACGACGGCGACGGATAGTCTTTCAAATCTCCGTTACAACGGTGGATCCATGCCCGCGACGGGTGATAGCGAGGACCGATCCGAGTTCATGAATAGTGTCGAAAGAGAGAGATCGGAAAGAGGAGATTGAGTGGAGAAATCGGTGGCGGTGGCGGTGGCGGTGGCTAGCTTGGCAGCGATAGAAAAGGCGACAAAGAGAGAGAGAGAGAGAGAGAGAGAGAGAGAGAGATTGTTGTTTTCAATTGGCTTTTTTTTTTATTATTTAATTTGTTAATAGATCTAAGAGTAAAATTTGATTCTGGTTCGTTTATTTAGTACGTATTTTATTTTTTGTAACAGTAAAATTTTACTCTGATTAAAAATATATTGATTTGTTTAACGATATAAAATTTTACTTTTTATTCTGAATCAGAGTTAATTTTACTATGATTTAAAATAAAATTTTACTTTGAAATACACTGCGAGGATGACTTAACAGGAGAACTAATAGATATGAGGGTAGTATAATAAAAGACACAAATTTTAAAATATTAAGGAGTTTTAAAAATGGACCGTGCTGTTGGACTTGTAGAGGCCCACCACGGGTCCCGTTTTAATAATCTGAACCGTTGAATGTGTAGAACTCGTCGAGTGCTATATGCCTGTAAAAAATCACGTTGATCAGATATCGATAGTTATGTGATCAAAACAGATTTTTGTCAACCGTTAATTTATTTACCGTCCATTTTTTTTTATACAAAACCGATTTGATCATATAGCTATCGATATCCGATTAATATGATTTTTTACAGGCATATAGTACTCGACGAGTTCTACACATTAAACGGTTCAGATTATTAAAACAGGACCCGTGATGGACCCCCACAAGCCTAACAACACAGTCCAATCCGATTAAAAACTGAACAGAAGCCATGCCTTTTAAAAATACCTATATAATTTTTATCCTTTTAAAAGACAAATAAAAAATAAAAAGCCAGAATCCATCCGAAGCAATCAACAAGACAAAGAATTTTTTTGATTCATTTTTTTTTGATTCAACAAGACAAAGATTTATATGTAAAAAGAAAATCATAATTAGAATTAATACAAGTCTTTCTGTAACCCAAAAAACCCCCCCCTAATTTATTTAAGTTAATTTATTTTTGTCAACCGTTAATTTATTTATCGTCCATTTTTTATACAAAATCGATTTGATCATATAGCTATCGATATCCGATTAATGTGATTTTTTACAGGCATATAGTACTCGACGAGTTCTACACATTGAACGGTTCAGATTATTAAAACAGGACCCGTGATGGACCCTCACAAACCTAACAACATAGTCCAATCCAATTAAAAACTGAACAGAAGCCATGCCCTTTAAAAATACCTATATAATTTTTATCCTTTTAAAAGACAGATAAAAAATAAAAAGCCAGAATCCATCCGAAGCAATCAACAAGACAAAGAATTTTTTTGATTCATTTTTGTTTTTGATTCAACACAAATAAAAAATAAAAAGCCAGAATCCATCCGAAGCAATCAACAAGACAAAGAATTTTTTTGATTCATTTTTGTTTTTGATTCAACAGGACAAAGATTTGTATGTAAAAAGAAAATCATAATTAGAATTAATACAAGTCTTTCTGTAACCCAAAAAAAAAAATAAAAAATAAAAATTAATACAAGTCTCTCAATTCCTGTTGAAGGGCTTCCTCTAACAAAAACTGAGAGTGTTCCATCAACTCGGGGCTCAATCTGAACATCAGAACGCAAAACTCCATCTGATTGAGTGCTCCATCACCGTCGAAATCGCCTTCTCTCAACATTCCCCTCAGATCATCGTCCCTCAATTCCTGCAACCCTAACAGGGCAGCGTTTCTCTTGAGGCTATCGAACGTGATGATCCCTTTATCACCGTCCATCAGCAACCTAAACCCATTACACAGCTCTTCGATCAAGCCTTCCCCGCCCAACTTGTCGGCCATGATTGGCAATAAATCTTCGAAATAGGATTGGGTATTGGACGCCATTCAAGGAGATGTAAAGATTCGTAGACACAGAAAGTTGTAGAGAAAGAAAGAGATGGGTTGTGGGGATGAGATTGAGATTGAGATTGAGATAAATAGGGCGTTTGGGATTTCGGAGAAGGAGAGGCCATGGAATGGGATGACAACTCAGGTACAGTTAGGGGTGTGCATAATACCGCAAAAACCGCTGAAACCGCCAAAACCGCACCGAACCGCACCGCCAAGGCAAATTCGTTATTATTTGCCAATAGAACTGCCGGTTTTTGGTAATTCTGTAACCCAAAAAAAAAAATAAAAAATAAAAATTAATACAAGTCTCTCAATTCCTGTTGAAGGGCTTCCTCTAACAAAAACTGAGAGTGTTCCATCAACTCGGGGCTCAATCTGAACATCAGAACGCAAAACTCCATCTGATTGAGTGCTCCATCACCGTCGAAATCGCCTTCTCTCAACATTCCCCTCAGATCATCGTCCCTCAATTCCTGCAACCCTAACAGGGCAGCGTTTCTCTTGAGGCTATCGAACGTGATGATCCCTTTATCACCGTCCATCAGCAACCTAAACCCATTACACAGCTCTTCGATCAAGCCTTCCCCGCCCAACTTGTCGGCCATGATTGGCAACAAATCTTCGAAATTGGATTGGGTATTGGACGCCATTCAAGGAGATGTAAAGATTCGTAGACACAGAAAGTTGTAGAGAAAGAAAGAGATGAGTTGTGGGGATGAGATTGAGATTGAGATAAATAGGGGGTTTGGGATTTCGGAGAAGGAGAGGCCATGGAATGGGATGACAACTCAGGTACAGTTAACGCAAAGGTCGGTTCAGTGGTTGATCCAGCAAATTTCCTCGCTTTCGGAGAAGCTCTCTACAAATGGTATAATCGTCCATTCATGCGGAAGGTATGCTGAATTCTTGGGGAGACTTTAGCTTGTTGTCAAGGGCAAAATCGTCTATTCATAACCAGGTCTACTAAACAAACTTTACTAACAGTTTTTAACATTTTTTTAAGGAAGTTTCTTAATTTTATTTTGAACTCTAAAATGGTCTGTAGTTGCATTTTGTCCATGTACAAAAAGCTAATCAGGTCATAATGCAATTACAGCCAAGTCCCTGCATTGCTTGGCCCTAGTGTTGGTGGTTGTATGTAATTGACCAACATACTTTCACATAATCTTCATAAAGATATCAAAATAAGAATTATTTTGAGAAGAATATTTTTATTCATCTTAATTCAATACATTATACAATTACTTATTTATAGAGATGGATGACCAGTAATTAGTAAGTCCAATAATTTGCTATTCCTATCATCAAAACTATAATCAAGCTATTTCCTAATCTACAGATATAATAATAGGAAACAACCAAACTATTTCTTAATTTACAAATAGAAAACAATCACAAGAGATAATTCTTAAAACCTCTACATTATAGTCCTCAATTCACAATCTTTTACTAGCTCACGAGAGCATCCAAGGACCGAGAACATTGGACTTTGGGGTGCAAGAAATTTAGAAAAGAATTTAAGTAATTCCAGGATTCAAACATAATATCTGCAAACAAGGGCGGACCTAGGGCTGGGCATAGGTGGTTGCAGCCTAGCTCAAAATTTAAAAAATTGTAGAATTTTTTTTTTTTTCTAGCCCAGCCCAACCTCCCAACCTCTCCTAGCCCAGCCCTGTCCCAAATAAGGGCCAATAGTTTTTTTGTTTGTTTTTAAGATAGGTAGTCCAATAGCAGTCTAATACTTACAAAAAAAAAAAAAAAAAAAAGATAAGCACCCCAATAGGTTTGTATTTGTTTAAAGAACAAATCTTCCAAAACAATCCTCACATCTTCCAATAGATAGACAGCGACCTTATCCGTCGTCTCCAGTAGCTCCACGTTCATAACATTTTTAGTAAGTGTAATTAACCAATTATTTTATTTCGTTGGTTGAGAATAGATTTGATTAACAATGGTTTTGAAATCTTGTCTTTATGCAACAAATATTATATTGCTCTTAATTTTTTGTGATAATGTTGCCTTGTTTAATGTTTTATATTGCTGAAGGAGTTTTTTTTGGACATATATAAAAATAATGAAAGCTTAAATAAAAATTATTGAGGATATATAGAAAAATCCTAATATTTAAAATTATTGCGAATATACTCTGATTTAATATTAAATAGGGCTAAATTTTTAATTTTTTAATTTTTTTTTAGGTTATAAATAATGGAACCTCCACACTCAAAAAGGGGAAAACCCTTTTCTCATTCGATCAATCAAAACAGAAGTCTAACAGTACAACATCCAATGTTGTTGAAACCTCATTTTCTGATGTGCAACCGCCTTCCATGCCTCAAGCAAATAAACCAAACGAATTTGATTCAACTGTTATTAAACGGATTCCTGGTTTACGCTTACAAATTTGTGAATATCTGATTAATCAACGGGATGAGGTTAGACGAGCTTATATGAACTTAAGGTCTTATCAACCTAAACTTGAGTATCCTAAGTCCTCATTTGGAAAACAGAATCGCCGATTTTAACATATTTGGTTTAAACAATTTTCTTGGTTAGAGTATTCTCCTTCAAAGGATAAAGCATATTGTTTTTCATATTTTTTGAAAATTGATCTAGATACTGAAAATTGATCTAGATTCTGTAATCGATGAATTCGAATCTTTAAAGACTTGTCAAGCACAATTTAGTTAGATTGTTTCTAATCAATAAATTTAGATATTAATCTAAATTATATTGTTAAATTATCTTTTTTCTTATGTGGTTATACTTCAAATATATTGTATAATTTTGCCTTCATATTAGTCCATCCCATCGACAAATCCTGGGTCTGCCCTTGTCTGCAAATATGTTCAAAGCAACCTGTTATCTATCTGAAATGCTAGGATCAATCCATGTGGGTTTGTTATGTGTGCAACAGTGTCTCAGTGGTTCTGATGTTGGGTAGTGAGGGTAACTGCCTCGGCCTAAACAGTACGGTTTTTTTCACAGAGAGGAATGTAGGTGATACTGATTGTTCGACAAGCAGAGATGCACCAAGTTCAACCAAGGTTAGTCACCGTTACTCTGTTAGATGGTTTTTTGTCGGAACGGTTACTCTGTTAGATGGTTGATATAGGTATTTTGCATGTTCCTTAACATGTAAATCATGAAACTTGTCTTCTTTTTTCTTTTGTAATTTCTAGCTTAGGCCATATGTCTTTCTGCTTGGGTTAATTTGTGGAGTATGACAATCAGTACCCAGTTTTACATCACATTCTTTGTTTTACAGTAGTTGCTTGGACTGGTCTGTGTAATTTGCTTTCGACTAATTTTTTCTCTCTTGTGATTTCACTTTTCATAATTTATTTCTTTCTAGCCAAACAGAGCCTAAGATTCATCATATATATATATATATATATATTGTTTTTTAAATATTAAGTAATGAAAAAAAATGATCTTTGTTATTTAAATAAAAATTCTCATCTGTTATATTATTAAATTATCTACATTTAGTTTCACAATTGACATGCTACTTGTTTTTTAAATTTTAATTTTGTTGCCTTAAAAAAAAACTTCAAACATTCACAAAAATATAAGTGTGCCCATAATTTAGAAAACTATAATCATATGGTAATAAATGAGCTACTAATCTCACTCCACTTTACTTTAAATACATTCTCTTTTTTGTTCTTTGTTATACATAATTACATAATACTCTTTTACACAAAATACATTATTTGAAAAAACCAAAATTTTAAGGGTATTAATATATTTGGAGTGAAAAAATAGAGTGTATTTAAAGTAAAGTGGAATGAAAATAGCGGCTAATACCGGACTCTGGGCTAAGCCTATGGACCAGGCTTCAGACATAGCTTCAAGTAACCCATCGGGCTAGGATATGGGTTTTGTCCCATCAGCACAAATCAAAATCATATATCAGGGCTGAGGCAGATAGCCCATCCTTGGGTTGGGCCGGACTGGGTCCTGGTCACTGTGGGAATCAACCATGTCACTGTTAGAACACAGACGATGGGCTATAATGCCGGTCCTCCGACGCACATTTTCAAATGCATCGCAAAATCAACAGCACTCAAAAGTTGACAACTTGACAGATCAAAAATTATTGTATATAGGGTAATCATCACTTGGTTAGTTTCATTCTCTGAATTCGTTGCAACTAAATTCCAATAATGTGTCACACAAAGTCGCCCTTGGTGCTAAAATATGAAAACGACCACTATGTGTTTTTTTTTTAATCTTTCTGGTGTGTTCTAGATTTACTTAAGAATTCTCAATACATGGTTTTCTGTACAAATCCAATATGTTTGGTGCGACTGGGCAAGTTTATAATTTATTATTGGTGAGGACGAAAATACATGGTATGTGTATTTTTATTTTTTAAAAATATGATACATATTATTATTTATTTTATATTGAAATGTGTATTTTATTTTATTTTATTGGTACGTGTATTTATATTTTTTAGAATTTGTTCTTATTTTTTCCAAATCTTTGGGTAATTCATTGTAATTCACCCATAAAATAAATAAAAACGTTCTTTTTTTTTTTTTTTTTATGTTTATAGAATTTAGTAGATTTTTGTAATGAATTACAATTTTTTTGTAAATATAAACAGATACCAAACTATGAAGCACAGATATTCAAAAGGGGAGACGTATTCGTATAAGATACTTATCGGATACTAATACTTTTTGGGTATTCACGAATACATATCGGATACTCCTTAATTAATTTTTTTTATTAATTTTAGAGTATCGGATACTTAATTTTAAAGTATCGGATATTCGAAATCATATATTACTTCTAATATTTTGTTTGATTCTTTGATAATAGGAATATAGTGAGAGTTAAAGTAATAGAATTTATTAAATTAATATATCATTATTGTTTCTCTCACTTCTCTCTCGCTCTCTTACGCTCTCACGTTTCTTCTCTCAGCTCTTTATTTTTTTGGTGTTGGCATGTAAGGATGATATTTAATTTGCATTTACATTTATATCTGCTTTTGCTTTTAGTTTTGGATATTTTATGAATGTTTGAAGACTCTTAGCTTAATAGGAAGCCCTCTATTTATTTATTAAGGTTTTATTTTCATGCATATTGACATTATTAAAATTATAAAAAATATTTTTTTTTATAAACATATGCCCGTTGTACCGGTATTCTACTTTTTTAGATTTTGGTTTATCGCCGTATTCCGTATCCGTATCCGTATCCATATCCATGCTTTCTAGATACCAAACAAGTTTTTATTTTTTATTTTTTAAACTTTGTAGCGAAAATGCTATCTATCATGAATTTTTGCTTGAAAATTTAAATCAAAATGAGATGTATGATATAAATTTAAAATTAGTGGACTATTAGGCAACAATATTGTTGTCAAAATAATAATTATCAAACGTTTATAATGCGAGGCAGAGCCTTAGAAGTCACTAACACTGCCAAAAGGGGTCGACTTGACTTTGAGCATTCAAAATAAGAGTGATCGATTATTAATCTAGCATATAAAATTCCAAGTTTCCCTGTCCACTGATTATTGAAAGATATTTTCAAGAAAAATAATAACAAAGGTCAAATCTAAAGACCAAAAGAAGGAGAAATCAGGATTTGGTGTACACATGAGCTGTTGTTAAATAATTGGAAGACACAGTACAAGCATGATCAGAAGCATGAACACCTCAACTAAAGCCTTTCCCATACTTCTCCGCCTATCATTTTTATTTACAATTTCAATAATCTCTGAAGCAATAGACACCATAACAACAACACAGTTCATTACAGACAATCAAACCATAGTTTCATCTGATGGAAGCTTTGAAATGGGATTTTTCAGCCCTGGAAACTCCAAGAACCGGTACTTGGGAATATGGTACAACAAAATCGCAACTCAAACAGCGGTATGGGTTGCTAACAGAGAAATTCCGATAACTAATCGATCAGGCATCCTAAAGATCACCAACCCGGGAATCCTCGTTCTCCTCAATGAAACCGGCAACATCATATGGTCTTCGAACACGTCGAGAACTGTACAGAACCCAATTGCACAGCTTCTGGAATCTGGAAATCTTCTTGTGAAAGATGCAAATGACGATAACCCAGATAATTTTTTGTGGCAGAGTTTTGATTATCCTTGTGACACTCTTTTACCGGGCATGAAACTTGGAAAGAATTTGGTAACTGGCCGCGATTGGTACTTATCGTCCTGGAAGAGCAACAATGATCCAGGTCGAGGGGTTTTTACGTATTGGTTGGATCTTCGCGGATATCCACAGTTTTGGGGGAGCAACGGTTCAGTTGAGTGGTACAGGTCTGGACCGTGGAACGGTCTGCGATTTAGTGGGAATCCCAGTTTGAAAAAGAACAGCATTTACAAATTCAATTTTGTTTTCAACAAACAGGAGGTGTACTACAGTTATGAGTTACTTAACAGCTCGATTGTGTCGAGGTTTTCGATCAACGAGAATGGATTCGTGCAGCGGTGGACATGGGTCGATGGAAAGGGTTGGGTGCTTTACCTAAGCGGACCAACAGATACTTGTGACACTTATGCCTTATGTGGCAAGTATGGCAGTTGTAATGTTGGGAATTCACCGGTTTGTGGGTGCTTGGATAAATTCGTGCCAAGCCGTCCAAAAGAATGGGCGATGGGAGTTTCAACAAATGGGTGTATTAGGAGGACACCATTGGATTGCGAAAAAGGCGATGGATTTCTGAAGTATTCAGGTATTAAGTTGCCAGACACCCAGTATTCCTGGTTTAATGAGAGCATGACACTTAAGGAATGTCAAACCGCGTGCTCGCACAATTGCACTTGTATGGCTTATACAACTTTGAATATAAGTGGTGAAGGAAGTGGCTGCTTGCTTTGGTTTGGTGACCTGATTGACATCAAAGAGTACACTGAAAATGGGCAAGATATCTACATAAGGATGGCCTCATCCGAGTCAGGTATGATATTATGCCTCAACAATTATATATTACTGTTTTGTTTGTTTGTTTGTTTCTTTTTTTTTCATTATGGTGTGAAGAAATTATGCTATATTTGAATCGAACAAGTTAAATTTGTGAGTTGATTTGACTGGTTCAATTGGATAGAAGGCTTGGCAATTTCCAATGGTGGCTCTAAGGAGAAGAAAGGAGAGACAATCGGAATCAGCTTGGCAATATCAATGGTAACACTTTCGTTAATCTTTGGTCTCCTCTTTTATGTTTGGAGAAAGAAGCAGCAGCAGCAGCAGCAGCAGCAGCTAAAGAGAGAAGGTAACTCAAATGACTCTTTCTGTGACTATGCAAAAAAATCACATTTATCCATATATTATTCGTCACCAAATGTAACAATTTTGTGACGATTTTAAGAATTTGTCACTAAAAATCATATTTTAGCTACAGGTCATGAATATTGTCACCAAATGTTCAATATGTGGCGACAAAATTTGTGTTTGTCCACAAAGACTGTTGTGAGAAAATGCAAATTTTTGTAGCGTGTGACAAACTTTGTGTATGTGCACGCGCACGCATGCTTGTAAAAACTAAAAGAAAAAGTATTACATATATATATATCAAGTTGAACAAGTTCTTTCATTCAAATCCACTCTATCTGCTATTGTGCAGGAAGAACGAGGGATATCTTTAAACACGGTTACAACAATGAGAGCCAGACGAAAGATTTAGAGTTACCATTGCTTGATTTGGCTACAATAATGAATGCCACCAATGACTTTTCGGAAAGCAATAAGCTTGGAGCGGGTGGCTTTGGCACTGTCTACAAGGTTAGCATTGAAGCAAATTCTTATGCAATTATTGTCAAAAGTTAGATCTGTATCCAATCTACTCCTCTCATACTCCTATTCAATGGAGACAAAAAATTGAGGATATATGTGTATTTTTTGAGTAATGCTATGCAAATAAAAAATTCTTACATAATTTTTATACATAATGATATGGCTCATTGTGGACCTTTCAATTCAAAACAATACACCATTGAATATTAGTTTATTAATAGAAATGGCATTGCCACATCATTCTTGTGAAGTTTTTTGAATAAATTTTATATATGCAGAGAATTTTCTGTATTTTTTATGCAGTTTCTCGTAAAGAGATAAGGAAAGAAGTACAAAAAGGCCTTCTTTGAAGTACTGAATATTTGGTTTATAACATTTGGCAATCTTCAGGGTATGCTAGAGGGACAAGAAATAGCTGTGAAGAGGCTTTCGAGAAATTCTAAACAAGGAGTTGATGAGTTCAAGAATGAAGTTATATGTATTGCCAAACTCCAGCATCGGAATCTTGTAAAGCTTCTAGGGTGCTGCATTCAAGGAGAAGAGAAGATGTTGATCTATGAATACATGCCTAACAAAAGCTTGGACTCCTTTATTTTTGGTCCGACTCTTTCAAAAACCATAGTAATTTTAACTTGGCCAAATACTTTTTCTGTTACGCTCAAATACATAAGCACGATTAACTTAGCCAAAAATATGCAGATCCAACTCGAAGCACCATTCTAGATTGGCCGAAGCGCTTCCACATTATCAATGGAATTGCTCGAGGACTTCTTTATCTTCACCAAGACTCAAGACTAAGAATTATTCACAGGGATCTCAAAGCTAGCAATGTTTTGTTGGACATTGACATGAACCCAAAGATATCAGACTTTGGCATGGCTAGAAGTTTCAGAGGTGAAGAGACTGAAGCTAACACAAGCAGAGTGGTCGGAACATAGTACGTATATCTATCGTAGCTTGATCTATGTAATACACTTGTAATGGTCCAAAATTTCTCAATTTGTTTGATGTCTTATTCCAGTGGCTACATGTCTCCAGAGTATGCAGTGGATGGATTTTTCTCAATAAAATCAGATGTGTTTAGCTTTGGTGTTTTGGTTCTAGAGATTGTAAGCGGGAAGAGAAACAGAGGATTCTTTCATTCAGATCACAACCTCAACCTTCTTGGACATGTAAAAATCAAGTCTGATAATACTATTTCGATATCTACATTCAATTAAAAGTAGTAGTCCTAATTTGTTTGCTTATTGTTTAGGCATGGATGGTGTATAAAGAGGGCACGTCTTTGGAGCTGCTTGATGAAGCTGTAAAGGACTCTTGTCATCTATTTGAAGTGTTGAGATCAATCCATGTGGGTCTATTATGTGTACAACAACATCCAGAAGATAGGCCAACCATGTCCTCTGTGGTTCTGATGTTGGGAAGTGAAGGTGCATTGCCTTGTCCCAAACAGCCTGGTTTTTTTACTGAAAGGAATCTAACTGAAGCTGATAAATCTTCTGGCAGAAATGCACCTACTTCAACAAATGAATTCACCATTACAATACTAGAGCCTCGATGACATAAATGTGTACGTGTGCATGTACCAAATTGTGTTATTCTCACGTGTTTGTATGCTGGAGACTCCATGGTAGGGAAGCCGTTGCTACTGTTTATGGGGCTCTCTCTTTTTTTTCTTTTGTTTTTTTTTTCTTCAAATTTTTGAGATGGGAAGAAAAGAGCAATACTTAGCGTTTAGTAGAGTTTTTTAAATATAATTTGAGAATAGAGTTGTATTTTGAGTTTGTGAGTTTTGGAATTATGATTTGAGTATAGAAAATTTGTTTGGTTATGAGTTTTGAATTGAGTTTTGAGTTAAGTGTTGAATTGAGTTTTTAATGTTTCATGTGACATGTAAAATAAGAAAATTTATTTGATTATGAGTTTTGAAAAGAGTTTTCAAAACTTAATTCAAATTGTTATAACTCATAACCAAACACACTACTCAAAACTCTATTAAAAATTTTGATCAATATTCATAAGCAAATTCTTTTTAAAATTCAATTAACAAATTAATTATTAACAGAAAATAACATTAATCAATTTTTTTAATTGCAAATATTAAAAAGGAAATAAAAAAAAATTCAAAATAAATATTCAATTAGAGATTTTATGATCCACTTGGGAGAAGAGATATTGGTTGATGGCGTGGGGATAGAGAAGATGCAGTTGAAGTGGCTGAGGTCACAGATGGGGTTGGTGAGTCAAGAGCCGGCGCTGTTTGCGACCACGATTACAAGAACATACTTTTCGACAAGGAGGAGGCTGACATGGATGAAGTTATTGAGGCTGCAAAAGCTTCGTATGCTCATAATTTCATTTCTCAGTTGCCTCAGGGATATGATACTAAGGTTAGTCACTTATTCTTGTCCTCTAGATCGGTGTCAAATATCGTCTAGATTGTTGTAAACAAATGTATGTATGTATGAAAGAGTTACCAATTTCTTTTTTGGTGTCTTTTCTGGTGGCAATTGCCACTAAAAAATAAAAATAAGTAATATAAAAAAATCACTGTAACGGTCAATCGGCTGGACATCCGACAATCGGGTAGACTCAAAAATTAAAAAACTATACGAAAAGGTGAGAGCTTTGTCTTGGAAGTTTGTTTTTGGAAGGAATTTTGCCAAATGTGAAACAAAAATGTGTTTTGAAATGTGTGGTGAAATTAATTTTTGAAAACCCTATCCAAATGTTTTGTTCACATGAAGAGGTGGAATTGTGATTGAAAAGTTTTACCAAACACATTAATTTTGGCAATATCATTTGACGAACATTTATTTCAATTGTAGGTAACAAAAATGTTTAAGAGCATTAAAAGTAGAGCGTTAATGAGAGCTCTACTTATGTGGCAGTGGGCCCCACTCATGAATGATTTGATGTATGTGTCTTTTTTTTTATTTATTTTTTTATTTTTGTTTCATACCACATCATTAATACCATTGTTAGAGTTTTAAATTTGAAGTTATAAATCATTGCTCTTGCAAGGAATATTGCTTATATTTTAAGTAGCATTTAGCATAGTCCATCTGTACATGGTCTTGTGTGTGTGTGAATGCCTTGACTAAAGTTTTTTTTTTTTTTTTCATTTCAAAGACTGAAGGTGATGTTTTGAACCCCTTTAAATCTCAGTTTGCTAAAAGATGCTTAATTTACCCTTATTTGACTCTTTTATTTATTTATTTTTTTGGAGAACAAGGAAAACTGTATTATTAAAAAAACATCAGTGCAAGGAAGACTCGAAACGGCCACCGGAACAACAAAATGAAGAAGAAAAAAAACCAAATCAAAAGCCCCTAAAAAAATAATAAATATTTATGTAAGAAATCATACAAAAAGATAATAAATATATATAACATTTTCATATATAACACTATGCTCGAGTAGTTAATTCATATATTCCTTCAGCCTTTTTCAGTGGAACCTTGTTTGGAGTGTGGTGATAGTCGCACAAAAATTGTTTCAAGCAAAATTTTGGGGTAACATTGCTTCCTGGGCCGGAGTATCCTTTACGGCCTTCTTACTTAGTCCTTCGCGTTTTGGGCCTCAAAGCCCAACTCGCAGCTCGGCCCAATTTTTCCCAAAAATTACCCTCTCATATATATATATATATATTTTATTAGTTAAGGTCCCTCGATGAAATTTCTCCGTGATCATACCAGAAAAATTTTAAAATTTCTCTGTGGGGTCGAAATTTTTCTAAGTCGAGCATAAATTTCTCTCTAAGTCAAATTTTCTTTGTAAAAATATTAAGGGATCCTAACTACTATGAAATATTAAGAAATAATTCTCCTCGTATAATCCTGTTGACCAAGTCCACGCTCCTCCGTACGACGTCGCTTTGTCACCTGAAAACACAAACGTGAGCTAAAAAATAATTACGGATACATGAAAAAAATTATATTTTTAATTATTAATATTTATAAAATTTATCACCGATTTATAGTTTTTTTTTTTATAAAGACGACTGATTTGACATTCTAAAAAAAAAAATCTCATTATTCCAATTGTAAAAAGTCATGTATTTATAGGTCTTTTTGTTAAATTAAAATAGTAAATATTCTTTTTTATCTAGAATGTGGAAATAATAAGTAATAAAAAAAAAGGACATCGACAAACTATTTCTAAAAATTATGTTTGAGAAAATGTTCTTAAAATACTCAAATTTTTGGAATTATTTTTAAAATTTGCAAAATATAGAATGTATCACAAAAATGAAAATATCAACATCAAAAAAAAAACAAAAAATGATACAAAAATATTTTTGAACCACACTAGTCGTCACAAGTGATGGTTGAAGTAGGGATGATGTGCAGTGGGTGGTAAGCCAGAGGAGGTGAGGAAGTAGGATGGATGGCTACGAAGCAGGATTATAGTGCCGAAACATTGCTGATTGTAGAGTTTGATGATGGGTGGGGCTCGAATGGGTGTTAGGGCTTGATTTTGGGAGGAAGGAGATTTGCAGGTAAAAGCATTTCCAATGCTTATTTTTTTTCAATCAATTTTTAGCAAAGATTTGATTGAAAAAAAATGACTCGGCTACGTAGCTCGAATTTCACATGGCTCGACTGGCCCGAAAATCAAAACGACATCGTTTTTGTTTTTGTTTTTTTTTTCCCCTTTCTCGTTTCTCATATGTGTCTTCTCTTCTTCAACAGAGAAGAAGAAAGAAAGAAAAAGAGAAGAGGAAGAAGAAAGAGAGAATCAAAACCAAATTATCATCATCAACACCAGAGGGATCTACTATACACACACATATCTATATATATATATATGAGAGGATCTATATCATCAAAACCAAATCAAAATCAACACCAGAGGGATCTACTATACACACACATATCTATATATATACATATATATGAGAGGGATCTATATCAAAACCAAATCATCATCATCATCAAAACCAAATCATCATCATCATACACACATCTATATATATATATATATGAGGGATCTATACATCATCATCATCATCAAAAATGAGAGAAGAACAGACCCTCTATCACTGTCGCAAGGTCTCTCTTCCTCTCTCTCTCTCTGGCCCTCTGTTTCAGGTATAAACGCGATTAAAAAAAAAAACTGCCCAAAACGACGTCGATTTGGGCAGTTGAGCCATTCGGGCCAACTATTTTTCGAGCTACCAATTTTTTCCTTTATCTTATATCAAATGTTCTAACGTTAAATTTTTAATTTTCATCAAACAACCGGTCGATCGAAAGATGTCCAAGCAGTCGTCCACCAACGTGTAAATTTTTTTCAAAATTTTCCCAATCCGTTTGTTCACCCGGTTGACCAATCATCCATCCGGTCATCTATTAATATACATCATCTCGGTAATTCTTTTAATTATATTTTTGACCCTTAATCAAATTACATTTTTTTTATATACAAAATTGTAAAAACCTTTTTTTTTTAATACACACCACTAGCCTCAGCACCTGTCTCTTGCTGTCCTCAGCAGCCGCCCCCCTAATCCCCTTCCCCAGCCACCGTCACAGACCCATCACCCCTCACTCCCGTGACAACTCCACCACCACCACCACCCATGAAGAGAGAGAATTTATTATCGTCCCTTGCCTCCCTTATTCTGGGATTCCCAAAATGAGCAATTCCATTCCATCTCCTTATCCTGTAATAGTAAAAGCTCAGATTCTTGAATTAAAAACTATCCCAGCAACAAAAGTCAGACAAAGACGATAATAAAGTGTGGGGACATAATTTTTGAATGACAACACGTGGCCGAGATATCATCGAAGTGCCAGCCGAGGTGCCACGTGTCCTGGTCATGATACCGAGAGGATCTCGGTTAGGCCGAGGTTATCTACGAGAATACCGGAATCCGAGATAAGCGGATAACGGACAAGAGTCCTAGAATGGGAGAAGACTTCAGTTTGGATAAAGATAAAACTCTTAGAGAGTTTATCCTAATTCTACTGGGAGTCTAAGATTAGCAGTAATTTCACATGGCTCGACTGGCCCGAAAATCAAAACGACATCGTTTTTGTTTTTGTTTTTTTTTTCCCCTTTCTCGTTTCTCATATGTGTCTTCTCTTCTTCAACAGAGAAGAAGAAAGAAAGAAAAAGAGAAGAGGAAGAAGAAAGAGAGAATCAAAACCAAATTATCATCATCAACACCAGAGGGATCTACTATACACACACATATCTATATATATATATATGAGAGGATCTATATCATCAAAACCAAATCAAAATCAACACCAGAGGGATCTACTATACACACACATATCTATATATATATATATACATATATATGAGACGGATCTATATCAAAACCAAATCATCATCATCATACACACATCTATATATATATATATATATGAGGGATCTATACATCATCATCATCATCATCATCAAAAATGAGAGAAGAACAGACCCTCTATCACTGTCGCAAGGTCTCTCTTCCTCTCTCTCTCTCTGGCCCTCTGTTTCAGGTATAAACGCGATTAAAAAAAAAAACTGCCCAAAACGACGTCGATTTGGGCAGTTGAGCCATTCGGGCCAACTATTTTTCGAGCTACCAATTTTTTCCTTTATCTTATATCAAATGTTCTAACGTTAAATTTTTAATTTTCATCAAACAACCGGTCGATCGA